ATATCGGTGCTCTTTACAAGGTGAGTAAACAGCTTTATTGCTCCTCTACAACTTGAGAAACTGAGGCATGGATGATATCAGATAATATCAGCTGGAGAAACTGAGGCACAGCACAGTACCCAATGCTCACAATGGCCACAAAACAATTTCTCAGCAGAGCCGGGACCAGATCAGAGGTTTCCCCACACCCAGTGCAGCGCTTTAGCCACTAAACTCCCCTGCCAATTCAAAACTCCCTGAAGGCTGCTTAGAGCCTTGGTGTCCAACATGCTAGCCGCTAGCCACATGTGGCTAGTTCAGTGTGACTAGTTCGCTATAGCAGTAGCCACTACAGTGACTAGTGCTTCAGAACTGGTTGGACACCGCAGAGGCAGAGGTAGATATGTGCTTAGGGGCATCCCACTTACAAGTTACCTCTGGATTCATCTCAAGATGTACCTCCTCTGTAAAGGAACTAAATATATTCAGCTTGCCTGGCTTGTCATGTCATAAAATAAGGAGCAGTCCGAATAAATTATTGCTGTGCACTTTACGCACAGCTATGTCCATGCTGCTAGATTTCTTGAGTTTAGGGTTACTGTCCACTCAGATAGGAACTGGCTTTGTCATGTGGAGGTGACGGGTGCCACCTCCTGGCTGCTGCAGGAATAAAACACCCTTCATTCTGCTTGCATTGCTGTGCAGCCTCGCAGGTCCCCGGCCTGTCTCAGAATAATGCAATCCATTTGCCTGTGAAATGCAGAGCCCGCCTGGGACACATGGACCCAGAAAAGCAGGGACTTGATGGGGCAATTTAAGTTGTTGACCTTTGCAAGGGGAGGTTTGAGAGAGGAAGTAAAGATATTTCATTTCCAGCCGCTACTGATTTATTCTGCTTGGCTCCGCTGGGCCAAGAGGGTTTGCTGCTCTCTCTCATGCAGCATAGAACTTATTCCAAATGTGAACTTCCCTGAGGTGGAGGCCTCTATCTGAGCAGCAATAGCTTGGCCCCTGGGAATGTGTCACAGGATCTTGCTGCCACTTTCTTCCTCTTACCAGTGAAATCCCCTCATTGTTGGGAGCAGCTCGGTGCCAGCAGCTGTCCTGGCATTAAGGGTCCCTAGACTGGAGTAGCAGGGTCCACCACATATCACTGAGGCACACTGGGAGAGGTGGTCAGGGCTGTATTGAGCAGGGAAACTGTCAGGACACCTGGTCAGAAGTAGCCAGCACTGGCATTGCCACATGCCGACATCTGAAAGCACAAATCGCCTTAGGCCTGCGCAGAGGTGAAAGGAAGCGGGTGCGCCCGGGTGCACAGCTCCAGCAAGAACCGGCTGAGCTGCAGCAAAAGCCAGCAGGGAGCTTTTTAAAGAGCTGGCAGGGACCTGGGTTGTGATAGGACAGGACCTGTAAGAAACGTACGTTTCTTTCACCCCTGGGCCTGCAAGTGTGGGGGAGGAAGAGAAGAGGGGATCCCCAGCTGAACCAGTGCTAGCAACAGTGAGAAAAAGTTGGCAAAGTAGTAAGTCCAACAACATTGCTGCACCACCGTTTTCTCCTCTAAGGATTGGGGATATTGCTTTGCCACTGCCTCACTGGGGGTGAAGGGTCATTGTGAAGATCCATGTATGTCCGTGAAGGGCTTTGAACCAAAGGCTTTAGAGAAATGTATGGACCACAGTACCCAGTGAAAATAGACTGAGCTTTGTTTTTCAAGACAGGGTCAGGGGTCTACATCTGCTCAGTGAGATTACATTTATTTTCGTCCTCTTAACTGAACTTTCTTTTAATGGCAAGGGAATGACAGGCCCTGAAATAGATTTCCTATGGACTCCCTCCCGAGTGGCATTGTACCCAGCATGTCTCCCGATAACCTTTCTTCCCTGCCTGGGAACTTTATCTGCCGCGTGACATACACCCTCCCTGGACAGAAAGAGGAAATTCCACTCATTGTTCTGTCGCTGCTGGGGTCTGACTAACACACTCTATCTTCTGCCTGCTGCACCACTGTCAGGCCGGGATTGGCAGGCATTTCCTGCGGTGGCAATCAGCAGCGACGTGGTGGGAGGAGTGCGTTTCATTCCGTGACTCCCAATCAGGTCCCAGCGTGAGCCAGTTCAATGGAACAAATACAGGCTTGATGTTCCATTGTGTACAGGGCGCAGTTAACCTGAGAATTATCCCTCGCTTGATCCTTTTCTCTGCTGGCCCCTTCTCTGCTGTCCCAGCTCATGGGTTCTAGAGTCCACCAGGAGCGGGGGGGTTTATGATCTCTTCCCACATTGTCAATGGGAGAGGAATCCTCACTCGATGGAAGTGTTCCCAGTGATAGAAACGGTTGAGAACTACTGTCCTATCTAATGACTGTCCACTGACATCATTCCTTCCATGGCACAGCCAGGCCATCTTGGAGCCCAGATAGCGAGGGGTAGGGAATCAGGCACCAGACTAAGCATCAGAGACTTGCGTTTTCTTCCTGGATCAGCCCATGATCTTGGGAGAGTGGCTTTGCCCTAGTTTGCTCATCTGTAAAATGGGGATGGAACTTTTATTTGTGAAGGGCTTTGAGACCTGCAGCTGCAAGGCTGGGTAGTGCTGCTTCTGCTGGAGCTTCGCGAAGCTCTGTGCAGTCTTGCGTGCCATGCGAGTCAGGGGATGGGAGCCTCCTTGTTCAGAGGTGAAAAGTGAGGCATAGAAAGGTAAACTCATGTGCACCATGTCGAAGCCAGGAACGAGCCCAGATCTCTTGCCTGTCAATCCAGTGTTCTAACCATTGCACAAGCCCATCAAAGCCACGGGACTGGGGGTAAGGTGTGGGGGGACATGACTCCGACCCCCAGAATGGGTGGAGCCTTGGGCAGAAGAGGCAGGGCCGAGGACCAGAGTGTGGGCTGGGCCCTCCCCACAGCACTCAGAGCCCCGCGGAGCAGCGGTCTGGTCCTCCCAAGGTGTTTCAAAGGGGCCCAGAGCTCCAGTGCCACAGTAACAGTGGCAGTGGCCAAGAGCTCCAGGCCCCTTCAAAAGTCTGGACCCCGGTGCAATTGCCCTCTTCACCCTACCCCCACCCCTCCTTCGTCGGCAGGCCTGCTCATGCATCGCCAAGCAAACGGGGGTCAGGTGAAACGCCAGCTGGGGAAGGCAAGCCCCAGCCTCTCCCCCTTCCACCCGAGGCCACGCCCCTTCCACTCGAGGCTACACCCCTTCCACCCAAGGCCACGCCCACTCCCAGCCTAGTCCTTCCAGGCCATGTGGAGAGCTGGTGGCAGGGGAAACTGGGCTACTGAGCAGTGGTGGTCGTGGAAAGCCAGGTTGCCTTCCCCGGTGGCTGGGACCAGGTTGCTACACTGCAGCCCCTGCCTTTCCTGCTGCCGGCCCCAGCCTTAGGCAGTGATCATGTAGGCAGTTTTGGGAAGGGTCATTACTGACTGCCCATGCCCAAGCAGGTAAGGAAGGGTTAGTAGCTAAAAACTGGTTCATCCTTCATGAGTGCTCTGGCACCTGGGGAGAGGCAGGGACATTTTCTCACACCCAGCATGTCCGCGCGGGGCTCTGGAAGAACTCCATGAGCCCTAGAGGAGGTGCCTAACGGGCTCCACTTGGCCACTTCATTTCCCTTTTCCTTCCGTTTCCATTCTCTCTACTCAGCTTTTTCCAAGCCAAGTTTTATTTCATTCCTTTGGCTGATCAGCGCCATTAGGGAGACATCATAAACACTGACAGATGCCTGAAGGATGCCAAGGCCAAGGGAGGTTCTTTGTCCTGGTATGGAAAGGGCACTACTGCAGGGAGGAAACTGGTAGAAAAGAAAATATAGGCTAAAAACCATCCTGACCCTGAGATCTGTGACCTTTTACTGACATCATGATTCAAAGGAGCTCCCAGTCATGAACAAGGACTCCCAATGTGCTTGGTGCTGTACAGAGGATGGAGAGAGGCTGTTCTTAGTAGTGACAAACGACAGAATGAGGAGCAATGGTCTCAAGTGGCAGCGGGGGAGGTCTAGCTTGGATACTAGGAAAAACTATTTCCCTAGGAGGGGGGGAAGCACTGGAATGGGTTCCCTGGGGAGGTGGTGGAGTCTCCATCCCTGGAGATTTTTAAGTCCCAGCTTGACATCCCTGGCTGGGATGATTTAGTTGGGGTTGGTCCTGATTTAGGCAGGGGGTTGGACTCGATGACCTCCCTAGGTACCTTCCAGCCCTGGGATTCTATGAACCGCAGAGGAAAAATCAGTTCCTGCCAAAAATAGCTCCTGGAATGCCATGTTTCTTGTGGGATAGACTTCTAAGTGCAGTGAAGGGAGCCCCATCCCTCTGAGATCTTTCAAAGGGGTCTGGAGAACACGTAGTAGGGAACTAGCCAGCACCGGAGCTGGAGTGGAACTAGATAGAGCCTAAGGAATCATATCCAGTCCTCCCGACCCAAACCAGCAATGGGATTCTTTCCATTTACTTTACTGGGAGTTGGCTCAGGTCTTAGTTCCAGGGGTTCTATAGAATTCTTCCCTTTGTTCCAAGGGAAATAGAATCTTCTTCGTTTTAATTCAGAAGGGATCTTTGAGGTTGTCTCCTGCTGGGGACAGAGCAGTGCAGCTCCTCACTCCTCGTGCCTGGGATGCTTTCCCTTCAGGGGATGCCACACAAGTAGTAGCAGTATGGGAAGCTTGTAGATGCTAAACTAAGCTACAGTGACTAAGGAAAGTGACAAGAAGGCCCAGAGTTTAGGGGGCTGAAGGATCTGGGTGCAAGTCCTTGCTCTACCAAAGATTTCCTGTGTGATGTTGAGCATTTCTCTTTGCCTCTCTGGGCCTCAGTTCCCCCTGTGTAAAATGGGGATAATAACACCTTTCCTAGATCCCAGCAGGGTGAAGAGGATGCAGGCGGTGAGGTATCAGTTACTATGGTGGCGAGTGCCAAATAATTCCCTAAATGATGATAAAGATGAAGCTTTTCCATCGCAATGCAGACATGAAGCTAGACCATCTCAACTGTGACATTTACTAGGTAGCAAAACTGAACCACCATCAATTAGTACCATGCAAGTGCCAAAGGAGGGGAGAGAGAGACCCAGACAGCAGACAAACTCTTTTATGACATTTTATTTTACTAACTTACACTGAGCTCTGCACTCCTGCATCTGGAGGCACAATATTAAAAACAAACATTTCTTTCTATTCACGCGCAATGGGTGAGTGGAGGACAGGAGACAATGTACAATGAAAAGCTGGTCAGTCTTCAGACTTAGGAGAACTGACTAATCTTCAAACGTTGTACCGACATCAACGAATTGTTCCTCACAATACCCCTGTAAGGTAGATGAGACCTAATATTCCATACTATGGGTGGAGCCCCCAAGGCATGCTTTAAAGTGATTTGTCCAACTCCAAAGAAAGAGTTGCTAGGAGAGGTAGGATTGGGACATGAGAATTCCTGGCTCCCTCCTTATGCCCAGATCCTTACACTATACTCTGTCCCGCTCATTTGCAAAATAACTCTCACTATGATTATTGTAATTTTGTCGGCCTAATTCTCCTTTTCCTTTCAGACGGTTCAGATCCTTCAGCATGTAGAAGGGAGGGGGCAATATATTTCATAGAACAACTTCTGTGGGTGAAAGAGACAAGAAGTTGGTCCAGTGAAAGATACCACCTCACCCACCTTGTCTCTCTAATATCCTTACACCAATGGGGCTACAACACTGCAAACAGCATGTAGAAGTATTATTCGTATCATCACTGTGCTCAACATAGGCTTGTATGATTAAACTGATGGGGAAAAGCCCCAGGATCACCCCTTGCTTTTTCGTCCATCAGTTGAACACTCCACAACAGAGGTCAGTTAAAAAAACAGGGAGAGCATGGTAAAAATCTCACAACATGTTGGCTGAAACTTCCCATTGGTGTTTCAAACGTCACTGAAAAATCAAAATTAGAAAAATGTTTACCAGCTATGGTCAATCAGCTTTGCATGCCTGATTGTTATTGCCTGAAAGCTCAGTTTCTCATGCATGTGAATGTTTTTCTTGCATAAATGAGGCGTACAACTTTATCCAAAGCCCACTGAAGTCACTAGAGGAGTCTTTCAGTTGACTAATTTATTTCTTTATTATCCAATTGGTTTCAGCCTTATTAATTTTAAATGTCTCTGCATTCTTATTGCTATTGTTGTAGGCGAAAACCTATCACAGTTCAGAAATAATTTTTTTTGTTTTGTATTTTAAAGCATCTTTTTTCTTTAAAAGATACATCTACAATTCATTGAAAATGTACTGGAACACTTTTCCATCAGATAATGCTGATTCTAAGGACTCAATACATTCTCCGTGAACATGTTAATTCCATCAAACCATTTTTCCAGCCCACCCAATCTCCTCCTCCCACAATCCCTGAGCAGCTGCCTCATGGGGCCACCTGAACAGAAAGGAAGGAAGGAAGATTAAATTTGCAAACAGACTATGTCCAATTTTCAAAAGTGACAGTGCAAGTGTCTTTGAAAAATCAGAGGGAGATACACTCTAGAGCCCAGTATTTAAGCACCTTCTATTGATTTCAATTATGTAAGTGGGGTTTAGGTTCCTAAGTCACTTAGGATATGACTACACTGCAGCTGGGAGGTGTATTTCCCAGCTCGGGTCTATGTACATGTATTAGTTCTGTTTGAATAATCCCACCAACCTAAGTATGTACATAGGATATCAGGTGGGATTATAGGAGTTTTTGATTATTTTTTACCGGTGATCTCTTCTTTTCACATTCATCCCAAAAATTTCACCTCTTCAGCACTAGTGAAGCACTCTGTGTCTCTTCTTTTAAGACATGTTGTCAGACTTCCTTATGTCTTAAATGTCTTTGGGAACTTAATTAGATGAGTTGGACATTCCATTTTAGCAGCTTAAATGAACATCTCAGTACAAAAAATATACATTCTATGAAAAAAATATACATAGTGCAGTTCAATAGCATCCTGAAGATCACTGGTGTGGTTGTCTGCTTTGATTTAATTATTTTGAGAAATCAGGAGCCATTTTTGTGTCAAAACAGCCCTGTTCCTTATAGGGCTTCTCAGTATTGAGTTTGTGTTACATTAAAAATACCCCAATGTCATGAGCATACAGAACTACATTTTGGTGTCACTGGTTTCATTGACTTCTGATAGAATGAAGCCAGGATTGTCGTAACCTCTTTTTGCCTTGGCTTTAGCATCTTTCTCATTGTATAGGCAAAAGGCACAGTGAGGGGTCTCTACTTCCACTGTCTTGCTGAAGTTGTGGAAGTCCACTCTATACTTCCTTTCCTTGGTCTTGGACACAATGGGAGCAAAGCGGTAACCCCAGAGCACCTCCTCTGGGATATAGGATGTCCTGACTTGACAGGTAGCACTTGTGGCTTCCACTGTGCCATCTAAAAATACCACCAGTTCAAAGTCCTGCTGGTGGATGGTTTCTACTGACATGTGGAAGAACGGGCTGCTCTTATCGATTATGTGGTAAATAGTCAAGGGGGAGATGAAGAAGAGGTTCTCATTGCCAGCATCCACCACAAATTCTATGTTGACCTGGTCCAAGATAATTGTCTCTCCTTCTGGAGTGATTGTGGTCTTCAGAAGCTTCCCATAGATGTGGCTTCCAATCAGTAGACTCTTCCTGAGGTTGGCCACTCGGATGAGGAGACACAGTTTCCCACCTCGTTTGCTAATGACAGCATTGTTGCTGAAGGTGATGGTCTTGGCCCGTTTCTTGGACCGAGAAATCTTGGCCAAGATAGCACCACACATGAAAGAGTTGATGATGACCCCAAGGATAGACTGGAAGATCAGTAGGAAAATGGCAGTTGCACACTGTTCTGTGACACACCTGAAGCCATAGCCAATGGTAACCTGAGTTTCCAGGGAGAACAGGAAAGCAGAGGTCAAGCCGTTTATGTTCTCCACACAAGGGGTATGATTTATGGAAGGACTGAATTCAGGAAGGTCATTATGTACATATGCCACAACGTACCAAAGGAGACCAAATAGAAACCAACTTCCTAAGAATGCTGAGATGAAGATGGTCATTTTGTATCTCCACTTGAGGTCCAGGACAGTAGTCCATATATCAACCAAGAAGACAAATCGTGACTGTTCTTCCACATTCCCAAACTCTATGTTACACCTTCCATCTTTAGATACCAGCCTTGCTCTTCGGCGACTGCATTCCGTCAGATGGCTGGTAAAGCGCTTCTGGAAGTATTTGAACATTCCCTCTATCAAGAAAGTAGTCTGGACAAAGAACAAAATTTAATAAACATTATGGTAGGTAACTGTTTTATTCACAGTTGGAGAGAGAGGAATGATTCCAGTACAAGTCTTAAGATGTTGACTTGCTTAGGAAAAGTTATGACGTTAGCACATTGAACCTTGGCTATTTGGGAAGGATTCCAATTCATATAAAAGGAAATAAAAATGTTCCTGCCCCAAGGAGTATTCCAGTGAAAAATAATAATAGTTGTTTGCTCAATGAGTTTTGCAAATAGGAATGAATTAAACCTCATAACCCCCTCATCTGTAGTAGCTCTCAGATGAAGCAAGGTTACACAATGACCATGATTTTCAAAAATAACTAGTGAGTTTAGGTGCCCAACTCAAGACATCTTAAAGTGGCCTGGTGTTCAGAAACTGAAAAGTTTGAGCATGTGGATTTTCATTTAGCTGCTGAAAAGATAGAGGGGCCAGTTTTAGCAATTTTGTGTCTTTTACGCATCAGCATTAGAAGAGGAGGAAATGTGAAAGTGATAATGAACAGTGGGAGGGTAGGGGGAAAGATGGAGAAGGCAATGTGAGATCTGAATTTTCATATAGTTATTGTTAATATGCCCATCGCTCTGCTACCTGAGAGCAAATCTCAGATCCAGCTTCAGGTTTCAAATTCTCCCACTGTCCAAGGGTGGCTGGAATTTGGGTTTTGGTTCAGCCCCATCATTAAGAAGAAATGACAAGACTGGAAGGGAAGGGGGGATTTTTGCCTTCCCAAGAGGTATTGCTAAAAATAAAAAGCCAGATTCTGGCCTCCTTCCTCTGTCTCTGTGCTCACTTGGTGCCCTGTGACTGGCAGCACAAATAAGAGGGACAGTCCAGGGTTGCCACCTCTCCCAGACCGAATGGACCGGACGCCATTGCTGCAAATGGCTTCCAGTCGGGACAGTTGGCAGCCCTAGAGAGACATGAAATATGCAAGTCATTGATGGGAAAACAGCAAAGATGGGTTCAAACTGCAAAACTGGGGTCTGTGTTTGGAATGTCTCCAGGACTAATATCAGAGGGGTAGCCGTGTTAGTCTGAATCTGCAAAAGCGACGAGGAGTCCTGTGGCACCTTATAGACTAACTGAAGTGTTGGAGCATAAGCTTCCGTGGGCAAAGACCCACTTCGTCAGATGCATGTAGTGGAAACTTCCAGAGGCAGGTATAAATATGCAGGCCAGAATCAGGCTGGAGAGAGAAAGATGATATCTGTTTGTACTTGTGCAAGTTTCTTCATGAGGTTGATAGATTTCCAAGGCACTGCATTTAGCCGTATGGAGTGGAAATCTATCAACCTCATGAAGAAACTTGCAAAAGTACAAACGGATATCATCTTTCTCTCTCCAGCCTGATTCTGGCCTGCATATTTATACCTGCCTCTGGAAGTTTCCACTACATGCATCTGACGAAGTGGGTCTTTGCCCACGAAAGCTTATGATCCTACACTTCAGTTAGTCTATAAGGTGCCACAGGACTCCTCGTCGCTTTTCTAGGACTAATGTGGGTTATGGTTCAGCCCCATTACTTGTCGCAAAATCCATATGCTGCTCTGAGATATCAAAAGACTTATTTGATCTGGAAATCAATCAGTTCCCTGGACAAAGGACTTATTAGACTTACAGGTAAGCCTAACCCACTATGGGAGGGCACAGTATGTACATTTACTCAGCCTTTCTTGGAACACAATCTTTATATATGACCAAGTTTTATTTCATGCTCTACTCATGTTTCCTGGAGTCAAAGACTTTCAGCTTAACAAAAAACTAAAATAAATTAACATCAAAAAGTGAAGCCCTGAGGGAAATACTCTCACTGGTGATTCATTGGCTGTTCCAAGTTTAACTTCACTGCGTCTCTTGAGAACAGTGGGCCCCCCGCTGTGTGGTTTTTTGAGGGCTGAACCTGAATGGCTGACCATCTGTTCCACAATAGGAGGAATGGGGCAGACTGAGGACTGAGGGGCATTGACAGAGCCTATGGCTGGAACAACTGCACAGTGAAGCAAGCCAGGAGGGGTGTGCTTAGGTAAAACTTTATGTTCTACATTGTTCTACCTCCCTTGCCATCACTGGCATCAAATCACAGACCCCCAACAGAAGATGACACTAACCCCTCTCCGGAAAACCAATTGGGCTGTGTCTAGACTGGCCAGTTTTTCCAGAAAATCAGCCGCTTTTCCGGAAAAACTTGCCAGCGGTCTACACTGGCCACTTGAATTTCCACAAAAGCACTGACTTCCTACTGTAAGAAATCAGTGCTTTTGTGGAAATACGATGCTGCTCCTGTTCGGGCAAAAGTCTTTTGCACAAAAGGGCCAGTGTAGACAGCTGAGATTTGTTTTCTGGAAAAAAGCCCCGATTGCAAAAATGGCGATCAGGGCTTTTTTGTGGAAAAGCGCGTCTAGATTGGCCATGGACGCTTTTCCGCAAAAAGCGCTTTTGCGTAAAAATGTCCATGCCAATCTAGACGCTCTGTTCTGAAAATGCTTTTAACGGAAAACTTTTCCGTTAAAAGCATTTCCGGAAAATCATGCCAGTCTAGACGTAGCCCAATTGGTGTCTGAGCTGTTGTGATGGGGTGAGAGTCCCACACTAGTCCTGCAAAAGCGGGGTAGGACCAGATGGGCCCAATCAGCTATTTAGTCTGCAAACAAGGGAGTTTTGGGCTGGAGGCAGCTAATTAGAGAACAGGCTCACCGGTGCAGAAAGTGACAGAGCCTATAAAGTGGATGACAGATTAAGTAGCTACTGATGGGAGACAGTGCTTTGCTCTCTGGGGGTATGTCTACACTGCAGAAAATGGCCATTTTTCCAGAAAAACTACACTTACATCCACACTGCAATTGCATTCTTTCAACAGAAAGTCGAAAGAATGGAGGGGTTTTTCCGACAGCGGTAAACCTCCTTCTACGAGGAAAAAGGTGTGTGTGGATGGGGAAGAGGGAGGTTTTTTTCAGAAGAAGAGGGAAGAGGAAAAAGCACAGGTGCTCTGGAAAAGCACAAGTGCCAGAGTGGCCACTCCGTCCACAGTAATCGCAATTTAAATGCGAGATAGCTTCCACATTGATTGTACCCTATCTTTCAAAAAAGCACATCACTTTTTCAATGAGCTGTTGCTGTGTGGAAGCTGTCTTCCAGAAAAGCTTCTTCCAAAATTACCCTGCAGTCTAGATGTTGCCAGGGAAGAGGGAGAAGTGTTTGGGTGGGATTGATGGGGGAATGTTCCAGGCAGAGAAAAGAAAGAAGCATTTGGGGGGGTTGCTGGGGAAGGTTCCAGGTAGGGAAGAGGGAGAAGCATTTTCGGTGAGTGTTTCTGGGGAAGGTTCCAGGTAAGGAAGAGGGAGAAGCCTGGGGAATGTTCCACGCTGGAAAGAGGGAGAAGCCTTTGTAGGGAGGATTGCTGGGGAAGGTTCCAGGCAGGGAAGAGGGAGGAGTGTTCGGGGGGGTTGCTGGGGAAGGTTCCAGGTTGGGAAGAGGGAGAAGCATTTGCAGGGGTTGCTGGGGATGGTTCCAGGCAGGGAAGAGGGAGAAGTGCTTGGTGGGTGTGTTGGTGGGGCATGTCCCAGGTAGGGAAGAGGGAGAAGAGTTGGGGGGGGGCGGTTGCTGGGGAAGGTTCCAGGCAGGCAGCTGTCGCTCCCTGGGAAGAGGGTTCTTGGAGCCGGGGCACCCCGAGGCTGCAGGGGAGCCAGGTGTGGTAGGCAGCAGCCCAGGGAGAGAGCAGTGAGGGCTGGCAGAGGAAAACCCAGAGCTGCTGAGCTGAGGGGCCTGGACTGGAATCTGGAGCAGAGGGCAGGCCTGGCTTCTCCTCCCAGCCTCAGAATGCCTAGGACACACCCCTGGATACCGAGTGACAGGCCGGGGGGCTCAGCCACAACAGACCCACTGAAGGTGCTGGAGCGAGAGGAGCTGCAGCCCTGGGTCAGACTGGCAACATGCAAACTGCCCATGAGGGTATTGGCCTCAAGAACTAATTCCCACCGTGAGCACGAGGAGGCACCGGATGGCAGTTGAGCAGAGCACTCTGGGACAGCTGTCTGCACCTCCCATCTCTGTTGGGGGACAAAATGGCTGAAGGTCTCATTTCAGCTCCAAACACCCAGTCTTGTTGTCTCTGAACCATCGGCTATCAGAGGAGCAGGAGCAGCTCTTTAATTAAATGGTTGAGGAGGGAGAGACACCTCAGACTGTTGTATTAGGCCTCTCTCTTCCGGTGTGGTGGTTTGGAGAGGACTGGGTCTCAGAATGATCCTTATGTATGACATTATTTCAGTGCCTACTCTGTGCTTCCTCTCTCTGCCCCCCAACTAGCCATGTTATCTGCTGAAGTGAGCAACTGCTCCCAAGCTCTCAGCTCAACAAGTCACACAGGGTATTGGCGAGCATGACACAGAGGACGGATGGTGCTCTGCAAGCCAGGCTGGATAATGTTGTCTACGTGTTCCTTAAACCACATGCTTTCATGGGTGTGGTACGGTCCCATGTAGGGGCACTGAGCTCATACAGTAGAGACTCATACACTAAGCACCAGGGGTCGTAAGTTTTGATTCCATGCACGGACATCCAAGATCCATCCATGTTACATACACACACCTACACCCATGTGCTTTGTGCTCCAAGTAGGAGGAAAAGGGTGGAACTAGAGCTGTTCCAGCGCCCCGATCATGGATGGCTTTTCCTGAGCATCCTGCCAGCTAGAAGACAGGTGCACTTAACGCTGCTTTGGTAGCATATTTTGAGGTATTTCCTCTAGGAGCCATAACTTGGCCATTTTATACATACCTGGATTTGCACTAAGGTCTGTCTGCAGTGCAATGGTGGGGTGGGATTGGCGCTCCAGCACTGGAGCTGTGGGCCCATCAGCATGGGCTAGATGAGCCCTGAGTAATTACTCAAATTAAAGCTAGCTGAGAAATGTCTTCATGAGAGACAATAACCAGCCCTGGTTGTCCCATCCCTCCCCAACCGGCACTGTAGACGGAGCC